TAGAGCACAATGTAGGTAAATTAATACCTTGAGACAGTTTCCATAGCAGTAAGCCAGAAATCGGGCCCTACAACATTATATCAGAAGTACTTTATCTAAGTATTACAAAAATTTCTAGAGGGAAGCACAGCAGCTGTTCGAACACAACTACATTACACAAGCACTTAAGAAAGGAAGTTAAGAAAAGTATACAAAGCTCATTTGAAATCACTGCAGAGAACACTGGATGTAGGAATGAGAGGAGATAATTAAAATCTGCACAGAGGACATACAGACACCCTCAGGCTTGGAACACATAAGAAAGTTGATCGATATGAAAAATGGCATAGTTAAATTGGGTCAGACCCTGGCAATAACATAGTTTTGACTTGACAGTATCCTGTAGCATTCTCTCTTGCATTAAGAAAGAAAATATCTTTAAATCAAAGCGAACACCCATGCGGAAGGCCATGTTGATTTAATAAAATCAGTTTTAAGCAGATTTAGTTAAAATGGTACTTTTCCTTATTACAGTAAAACTCTCTAGTGGTTCAACAGAGGTTAGAAATTATACAAGAGCATCAGAGAAAGTTGCTATAAAGATCTCAGAGTTCAGTCATGAGCAGACATCCTTGGTGTGGCACACCTACAAAAACGAAAGCACAGAACTCAAGAGCTCTCCGCAGAGTTAAGCCTCAGTCCCATGAATTCAGAGCAGCAGCCTTTCTCAGAGCACCAAGCGTCAGACGAACGGCCTTTCATGACTCAATTTGCTGAAAGATGGGCATCCAAAAAAGACAAGCAGACTGAAATAAAGGACACATGCAAAGTATTGCCAATTAAGGCTCTTGAAATATACATTATAACCCTGTTATCTGTGATGCTAAGATGAACGATTGTTTTCTTAAATCATATTGAACGTAAAGAAGAATAATTTACTTTATTGAGTTTTGAGCAGCATGATCTAGCATTAATGTAGTCACATTCCAAATCTGATAGTGTAATTATCTGAAATACAAGATAAGGAAAAATTGTACAGTAACTCAGAATACAGAAAGCTTTATTTTTATCCAATAAGTCGGGGAGAGCACCCTGCTCTCAGCATAGACTGTCCTGTTCTACAGCTGATATGCCAAAGGCATTCAATTTGCTACAACTCATTCCTACTTTAGGTAGAAAGTTAGGCCACATTTTATCATCAGGCCAAGCGATTTTATGATGTTTTTCCAATGGCAACTGTTGCACACGTGCTAAAGTTCAGTTCAACACTTAAAGACGACCAGGGAGGCAAACTTAGTATTTTCGGTATCAAAATTATTACTACAACACTTGAAATCACAACTTAAAAGGAAGAAAAAGTTAATGAGCTTTTTAAACTCTCCTCATAATAAAGCCAAATAGTGCAGTTGTAAGAAGTGGATCTACTTTTTTTACATTTACAGCAACATGGGATTAATTCTTACTGTGCTAGGAAATAACAGGGCAACTTTATTATCGAAGGAACTTTCAGCAATTGAAATATGAAGATTTCAGACAGAAAAGCCCTCTCAGAAAAGGCTTAGCATTCATGTGTGCACATCATCATGCTCTGTCCTGCAAAGCTCATGCTCCTTTTCTCCAAGAAGATGAAAAAGTATGACATTTTTTCTGTACCTAAAAAAACGGTGAAGACTTAATTTTTTCAATAAATAACCTATGCCTCCAGGATGAACTTCTTTCAAGTGTTTCTGTATTTTTTTTTCTGTCAGAACTGGGTAGATTCTGAAATAGTATCACGATTTGAAAGTTTATGAGAGCCAGTTCTCCTTTAATCAGAAAAAATAAGAAAAGAAAGCCAAATCAGTGCTTTTACACTCTATCAACACCAGACACCAAAGGCTGCAGGCAAGTTTGTAACAGAGAACCTGGGAACCCCGTTTGTCGGGGAACTCGCAGCCTCCTGGCTATCTAAAACGGAGTCAGGCATCCTCACAGGTAAGAGACTGTCGCCCGGCCGTATGTTTTTCGGCCCGGGTGGTTTATGGGGGTGTGAGACAGGCCCTCGGCACCCTTTTCCCTACCGCACCGCCAAGCAG